CGTGCCTGGCCTCAGTGCCAGTGCCTCCCTGGCACTTTGTTTCAGGAACAGTGCCCACCACTCACCACATGCAACAACTGGTGAGGTGTGTTTTGTTTGGATATCTGACTGTAGCTGGAGTTTTCCTGTGTCCACCTGGCCCCTGCAGCTGCTCAGACCCAAGTAAACACACAGGGACCTATGTTACTTATGAACTGTATGGCTGTGGCAGCCTTCTTGCTTTCTAGTTCTTATATATTAAATTAACCCATTTCTATAAATCTATACCTTGCCACGTGGCTCGTGGCTTACTGGCATCCTTACATCTTGCTTCTCATTGTGGCGGCAGCTGGCAGCATCTCCTGACTCAGCCTTCTGCTTCCCAGCATTCTCCTCTCTGCTTATCCTGCCTATACTATACTTCCTGCCTGGCTACTGGCCAATCAGCATTTTATTTATCAATCAATCAGAGCAACACATTCACAGCATACAGAAAGATATCCCTAGTATCTGAATCAGTAAATTCATGAAAGAAAAAACAGTAAATCAAACTTTATTTAAAATTTAAAGGTACTATTAGGCTGGAGAGAGGGCTGAGCAGTCGGAAGATCCCAGCACCCACTTCGGGTGGTTCACAAACACCTGCAGCTCCAGTTCCAAGGGACCCAATGCCACCTTCTGACTTCCACAGGCATCTTTGAACATACAGGTGCACACACTCATACACACATACACACACACACACACACACACACACACACACACACAAATAATAAACAGTTGATAAAATAAAATATTTTAAAAGGACTCAGTTAAACAGAAATGTGCATAAACTGGAGGATGTTTGCAAAGCACACATTTTATGAAAGACTTGTTGTACCCAAAATATACACAGGCCACCTTATGTGCAGCAGTAAGAAAATGGATGGCCCAGCCAGGTTTAAAAAGCAAAACAACAGACATCAGGGCTCCATAGTGAGGCCTGCCTCATAAACTGATTAATTAATAGGCCTGGGCTGGGCTTGGTGCAGCACATGTTTAATCCCAGAGGCAGGTTCCTCCAGACTTCACACCTTACTATCCTCCTGCTTGAGTCCCACAAGAGCACAGGCCAGGCAGCCGGCCTCTACTGCTGGCTGCCTCTGTGTACCGGGTGTGGTCACATCCTCCTTCCCTGCCCCCTGGTCCAGCCCACTCTGCTCGGCACTCCTGACCCTCAGCAGCCCGGCACCTGTGAACTTCCCCTGGGCTCTGAAGAAAGACAAACTGGGAAGGCATCGTGTGAAAGGGCCCTTTGAGAGCCAGGAGCTTATTCCTCCAGATTCACTGCTGCTTCCAAACTGCCCTTGACCCGATGGGTGAAGGTGGCATCTGCGGGAGGAAGCCTCTCCTTCCCTTCCCCTGGCTTTCTCCAGCCGCCCTTGAAGCTCTGAGATAGGGCGGCCATTCTCCCAAGAGTGTGCAGAGTCTGCCACCTTGTGGCTGTCTCCGGTCCTGCAGCACCCTGCACCAGACCCAGCACAGAGGAGCTCTGTTCTCCCTCCCTAGGGTTCCACAAACTTTAGACAGCTAGGGCATGAGCATGGGGGTGTGGGAAGGGTTTGGGAACGACACTCTTTGGTTTTCCTTACTGTTTCTTTATCGAGGCTGTGGAGACAGCCCCATGGGAAGGGGTCCCGTCATCATGTCTGAGGTGAGACAGCAAAAGGTTGGCTCTAGGCAGCTGGCCAAACTCGTATGTGGGAAAGCAAGCTGTGGGCCTAAGCAAGGGCTTGGATAGATGGAGTACACTTACTAAGACATCCCACCTGTCTGTCACCCCGGCCCGCCTCCCAGCCTCAGTGTCTCCAACTGTGAAATGAAGGTTCTGACCATGTGACTTCTTAAGCCTCTTTTGCCTCTGGCACTGCTCTTCACAGCATCCCCAAGCATGGAAGAGGCTCCTAAGTCCATACAGGAGAGCAGATTGCAGTGTAGCCTAGAGAGACACCGGGAATAAAGAGTAGCCTTCCTGTCCACTCACAAGAGGAATGTGTGGTTCCTGCAGCCAAGAGTGCTGGGCAAGGAGCACACAGCAGGGTAATGCTAAATGGGCCTGATACCTGGTGAGCTGCCAGGAGAGGCTCCTCCCTCCATGAGCATGCAGTGGCCAGCAGAGACCATCCAGGGGCAGCAGTGTGGTCAAGGAGAGACAGAGTGCCGCCCTGGAACACCAGCAGGAGCCGGTCAGTGGAACCAGCAGGCCGAGGTGGAAGTCTCAGAGATGAGATGAACTCCAAGCACTGCTACTAAACCTCTCCATCTCTAGTCACATGCCTAAGGGGTGGTGGCATCCTTCTCTGACCACTGAGGGCTTGTGTTTGAATTTTCCATGCTGTGACGAAAGGCCCGAGGGAAGCAACTCGGCGGAAGAAAGGTTTATTTTGGCCCAAGTTTTCAGGGGTTTTGGTCTGAGGTCAGTTGGATACATTGCTTTGGACCGAGGTGAGGCAGCAGATCCTGGAGGAAAGGATGGTCTGCAGACCTGTGGAAGCATTGGGAAGCTGAGACAGACAGACAGGAAGGGCCCGGAAGCCAAAGCCATACCTACCCCCTGCCAGTGACCTGCTTCCTCCAACCCAACCCCACCTCCTGATTTCCACCGTGTATTACTAACGTCATCAGATCACCAATCTATCAGAGGATTGGTCCATAGATTCAGGCAAGGCCTTCAGGACCCAGTCTGCCCCCCAAAAGCTGGCAGCCAAGCCATTAACACCAGTGCCCCTGGGAGGGACATTTGCTGTCCAGATCACAGCAGGGGCTAAATTGAGACAAGATGGAAAAATGGGGGAATGTAGGGACGTGACAGCAGAAAGGAGCCCTCACCCCAGAATCCATCTGAAGCAGCTTGCCAGCGGAGACAAGGACCCAGCACCATTAACAACTAACCGATTAAGGCCTTCCTCCCCTCCCAGCTATGAGACCGCTGCTGTCTAGGACAACAGAAGCAGGAAAGGGACATGCCCTAAGTCCCTTGTGCATCCCTAGTGGCTCTGCTGTCACCTGTCAGGTTTCACCCAGGGAGCCTCTGGGGCCACCCTATAGTCTCGTGTCTCAGAAGAGAAGGAAATGGGAAGAGCACAGTGGTTTCCAAGCGTCTTTTGAGACGTAACTTGAGGGCCACCAGAAGGTAATGTGGCTTCTGCTGAGACAGTCCTCATGCTCCTCCGCTGAGGAGCCAGCACCCACACTGGACGTGTCTTACTTTCTGAAGCTCTTCTTCGGGAAGCCCACACCTCTTGGGTGTACACTTGTTCCCCTGTTGGATGCCTTTCTTTAATGTATCTCTTGACCTCCACCTCTGCCTGATTAGTCCTGAAACTCTTTTCGGCGTCGATGCCCCTAAAGGTCTAACAGAATGCCTCAGACTGCTGAGGGTGGCAGCATGGAGCTGGGTCTCTGCCCCTCCGCTGCTGGCAAAGGGGCATGACGTCTCCAGAGCACTACCAGAGGTCCTGGTTGTAGACACTGTCCATAAAGGACAGTTGTGATCACTGCAGTTTTTACCTGCCATCCATCTTTTCAGCCAGAGATGCTTTGCTCAACAATGAAAATCACCAAGATTGCTGAGGGGTGTGGGGGGTGTGGGGGGTGTGGGGGGCAGATAGTCAGTTCAGTCTTCTTGGATTGCTATTACAAAATGCCAGGGTCTAAGTGGCTCAAAGGGTTGGTTGGGTTGGTTGGTGGCTGGTTTTTCTGGTATTGGGGCACAACCAGGATCCTGTGCATGCCAGGAGAACCTTCATCCACTGTCCCATGTTCCACACTCTTGTCTTTCTGTGTTTGTCACAGTTCTCAAAGATGGGAAGCTGAAGATGGAGCTGACAGTGTGGACATCTGGTAAGGGCCCCGCCCGCTCCCACAGTGGCAGGGTCGGGAATCATTCATGTTTCTTTTGCAAAATTACTAATCCCTGTCTTGAGGATTTTGCCTCATGACCTCATCACCTCCCAAAGGAGCTGTCTCCACCACTTTAGGGCCAGAGCTCAAACTATAGCACAGAGATGTAGATCCCACTGTGGGCTCCCTCCCTAGTGTATAGACACCTCTTTCCTGCAGTGTCCGACATGTTCTAGTCAGTCTTCCTCTCACGAGGGCACTAGTCCCATTGTGAGGGCTCCACCCACAAGGTCTCATCCATCTAGTCACTCTCCAAGGCCCACCTCCAAATGTCATCCCTCCGGGAATCAGGGCTTCATATGTATTTGGGGACACATGGCCTGAGTCTCTCCTAGCACCGCCCCAGGACTTCTGGTTTCTGTTGGTTTGTCTTTGCAGTGATAGAAATGCCAGAAGAATCCTCCCCTCCCCTCGCCCCAGTGAGCACAGCCAAGGGTCCAGTAGCTCCAGGACACAGCTACAAGGCAGGTAAGGACCTCCTCCCCTAACACTGTGACAGCCCCCGCCGTGGGCAGAATGAGGCCTAAGGGCTGCACCCCCAACCCACAACCCAAGGGGCCCCTTGTTGTAGTGGGAAGTTTCTCCAGTCCCACCAGCCCCAAGGTCCAGACAAATCTCCCCTACCCGCGGTCCCACAGCCACTTATAAAATAATTACTCAGAGGCTTATATTAATTACAAACTATATGGCCTACGGCTTCAGCTTCTTGCTAGCTAACTCTTTCATCTTAAGTTAACCCATTCCTATTAATCTATATGTTGCCACATGGCCGTGGCATTACCGGTCTGCTGGCATCTTGTAGCTCCTGTGGCGGTGGGCTGGCATCTCTCCCGACTCCGCCCTTCTTCTCTCTATCTCTGCTTGGATTTCCCACGTGGCTGTAAGCTTTCTTGCCATAGGCCCAAATAGCTTTATTTATTATCTAGTGGGAGCCACACATATTCACAGCACACAGAAAGACATCCCACAGTCCCTTGTCTAATTGCTGTATGCAGTACCTGGGACTGACCCCTGCCCCGGAACCTGGGAAGTCCCCCAAATCTTCTCTTGCATTCTGAGTCTCAAAACTGGAGGAATTTTTTCCCGAAGCTTCAAGGCCCTCCATCTCCTGGTATATGTATAAGATGCACCAGATGTGGTGGTACACACCTTTGGTCCCAGCACTTGGGGGACAGAGGCAGGTGGATCTCTGAGTTTAAGGCCAGCCTGGTCTACATAGTGGGAATATGTAAATAAATAAATAAATAAATAAATAAATAAAAAATTTTTTTTTTTTTTTTAAAAAAAGGCCAGTTAGGACAGTTGTGCCAGAGCCCTCTGCCCCACTACCAAAGAGAGCTGACCAGCCTCCCCAGGAGGCTAGGGCCCTGATTCGGGTGACATGTCACCATCACTCATCCCAGGCTTACTCACACTAACTTCTCCTCTGGCGCTCAACATCGCTTTGACATCTTGATGATGTCTCCCCTGTACACACACTGCTGACAAGGCGTAGACTTTGCCCCCAAGGCAGAGACTGCTATTCTGTCTCTTTCAGATCACAACCATATTTAGCCAAAGTGCCACCATTAATAAACCACATTTCCCAGCATCCTTTGCAACCATGAGGCCAATGAAATTTGTAAGCAGAAGAGCTATGTGAGATTTCCAGAAATTCTCCCGATAAAAGGAGGGATACTGGCCCCTCCCCCTTTCTTCACCTGGCTTTGCCCAGTCTTGTGTCCAGAGCTGTTCGGCTGTGTAACGGTGGCTCTGGGCCCCAGCGGGGAGAGGAAGCTCCTGGAGCAAAGGCCCCAAGACTGGCAGGAATCAGTTTACTGAAGTAGCAGAAAGAAAGCTGGGAAGTGAACCAGAGTCAGAGCACCGGGGACCCAGGAAGCCAGGGCACAGGGTTTGAATTCTATTCCGGGAGGGACACGAAGGGGGATTAGTGGCACAGTGAAGAGTTGTTGAGGCCTTCACACAGAGGAAGTGGAAAGCTGGGAGGTCAGACGAAAACCAAGTGACCAAAACCAGAAAAGCAGGCTCAGTGGGTGAAGGACACAGGCTACCCAGGTCTGATGGCCTGAGCTTGACCCCCAGGACTCATGGTAGGAAAGAACCTTCCGCCACAAATTGTCCTCTGACTACAGAGAGAGAGAGAGACAGACAGACAGACAGATACACACACAGAGATAGACAGACATACACACAGAGACAGAGACAGACAGACAGACACACGTACACACAGAGACAGACAGACACGCACACACAGACATATAGACACACACATACACACACACTCACACACACACATATTTTAATCTTTAAAAAACAAAGTTAAGTAAGGTAGGAAATCACTTTGGGGAGGCTACATCCAGATATAAGGTGCAGCGACTTGTGACATTGTGACTGGTGTTTGTCCTCAGCATCTCCGAAAAGCAGATATCATCCATCCCTCTCACGGGAGACAGCCAGACAGATTCCGACATCCTGGCATTCATCAAGGCCAGACAGAGCGTGCTGCAGAAGAAATGTAAGTACACATCCCCTGGAACCCCTCCAGGGCCCGACTGTCCCCACTCTTCTGTCCCACACTTGGGGGGGGGCATGCTGCAGCTACCCGGAAGCTGCAGAAGAAGGAGGCGTCTCTTGTGCTCCGGCACCCACAGCAGCAGCCTCAGCCACCTCACGAGAGCTGAGCCCTGCTTCCCCAGGTCCCAGGGGCAGGTATGTGAGTGGGTGACCTGGGTGCTCCTGCTGCAGCTGGCCAGCCTCCTCCCTGTTCCAGACCTTGGCTTTGTTCTCTGTCACCTGAAGACATCTCTCTCCCTGCACAGCCTTCTCTAAACAGGAAGAGCCGAGGGCGTTCGGTAATTTATTGAGACCCTGGCTAGAAACGTCATTCTCCTCAGAGCATAGTTCTTGCCAAGGAGCTATGGATGTAAACACCACTTGAAGGCCCAGGGCTGGGGACACTGTCAGTCGTGAAGGAAATACCTGTCCCACAGCAGGAAGAGCAGAAGGCCCCTCCTGGCCTTTCTCACTGGCCTGCTTGCTTGGCAGCTAACCATCTCTACTGCGGACAAGCCTCTTCCATTCCGACACCCACAGGAACAGGGCGAGACCGACTACCTTACACTTGCATTTAGTCTCAGCCTCACCCCATTACTCTAAAGGTTTAACATTGTCTCGGCTTGTCCAAAGCTGCCCTCCTTGATGATATACCTGTCTGTCCATTTTCCATGGCTGTAATGAAATGTCAAAGGCTGGGTAACTTAGTAAAGAAAAATGATTCACTTAATCCAGTTCTGGGAGTTCATGGACACACACAATAGTTACAGCAGCTCTGCTCTGTTCAGAACCTCAAGGCAGATAGGGGTAAGATGGAGGGGTCACATGGAGGGGTCACATGGTGGGGTCACATGGTGGGACAGGAACCCAGAGAGGGATTCAGGTCACATGGTGGGACAGGAACCCAGAGAGACATCCAGGGTTCAGAATTCTGCGGTGATCTAAGGACCTCCCAAAAGACCCCACCTCCTAAGGGTCCCACCTCCAGCCTCACCACATAGAGAACCAAGCCTTGTGCACAAACTCAAACCACAGACAACATAAAAGGAGAAAGTCTTGGATGTGGCTGCCACTGGCCCGGGTGGATGCCAGCCCAGCTTCTCTGTCCCCTGTCTGTGGCTTAGAAGGAATGAGTTTGCACAAGGATGGGCGGCTGGAGCTGAATGAAAACTGTCATCCTCATATCAAACAACCAGACTGTCACTGGATGCCCACGTGTGAGTGCCAGGAGCGACAGCGTG